ATACTGTGTTAGCCATGATGGTTAAGTGTTCCTTGAATTCTAAATAAATCAGAGACAGTGTCACCAGTAAAGCACCCCCACACCTCTTTCTCCATGCTTTACAGTGGGAAATACGCGGAGATCATCCGTTCACCCACACCGCGTCTCACAAAGACATGGCAGTTGGAACCAAAAATCTCCCATTTGGACTCCAGACCAAAGGAGAAATGTCCACCGGTCTTATGTTCACTGTTCATGTTTCTTGGCCCAAGCAAGTCTCTTCTTCTTATTGGTGTCATTTAATAGTGTTTTTTTTTTTAAAGCAATTCGACAATGAAGGCCTGATTCACACAGTCTCTTCTGAACAGTTCATGTTGAGATGTGTCTGCTACTTGAACTCTGTGAAGCATTTATTTGGGCTTTAATTTCTGAGGCTGGTAACTCTAATGAACTTATCCTCTGCAGCAGAGGTAACTCTGGGTCTTCCATTCCTGTGACGGTCCTCATGAGAGCCAGTTTCATCATAGCGCTTGATGGTTTTTGCGACTGCAATTGAAGAAACTTTCAAAGTTCTTGAAATTGTCCGTATTGATTGACCTTCATGTCTTAAAGTAATGATGGACTGTTGTTTCTCTTTGCTTATTTGAGCTGTTCTTGCCATAATATGGACTTGGTATTTGTCACGATCGTCGGATACAGAGGACCAAGGCGCAGCGTGGAAAGTGAACATATTTATTAAATAATGATACACGAACAAAAACAACAAATCGATACGTGACGTCCAAAGGTGCAAAACACAAACCTACACAGGAACAAGATCCCACAAACACTGTGGGAAAACTGGCTGCTTAAGTATGGTTCCCAATCAGAGACAACAAGCAACAGCTGATACACGTTGCCTCTGATTGAGAACCACACTGGCCAACATAGAACTACAAAACTAGAACGAAAAACAAATGAAAACTCACACCCTGGCTCAACATACTAGAGTCCCCAGAGCCAGGGCGTGACAGTATTTTACCAAATAGGGCTATCTTCTGTATTCCCCCCCTACCGTTTCACAGCACAACTGATTGGCTCAAATGCATTAAGAAGGAAATAAATTCCACAAATTAACTTTTAAGAAGGCACAACTGTTAATTGAAATGTATTCCAGGTGACTACCTCATGAAGCTGGTTGAGAGAATGCCAAGAGTGTGCAAAGCTGTCATCAAGGCAAAGGGTGGCTATTTGAAGAATCTCAAATATAAAATATATGTTGATTTGTGTAACACTTTTTTGGTTACTACATGATTCCATATGTGTTATTTCATAGTTTTGATGTCTTCACTATTATTCTACAATGTAGAAAATAGTACAAAAAAAGAAAAACCCTTGAATGAGTAGGTGTTCTAAAACCTTTGACCGGTAGTGTACGTCTACATTTTGTTATTTATTTTCTATAAGCCATTTAACAAACTATAACGGACTACATTTACATTTGCGTCATTTAGCAGACGCTCTTATCCAGAGCGACTTACAGTTAGTGAGTGCATAAATTTTTTTCATACTGGCCCCCTGTGGGAATCTAACCCACAACCCTGGCGTTGCAAGCGCCATGCTCTACCAACTGAGCTACACGGGGCCCATCATATGCAGACCGTGATAATACACAGCAACTAGCCATTGTCACCTTTCCTTCTAACAGTACAGAAATATACACATGTACTGCACATCCTGTGGACAATCATCCTTTCTCCTACTCTGTCGATTGGTGCGACTTACAAGCGGTTAACTGGGCAGGGTTAGCGTCAATGCCATTTCATTTAAGTCAATTCAGGAAGTAAACTGAAATTCTAATTCCAATTTCCCTCATGAAAAAGCTGTGAGGAAAATTTGAATTAGAACCTCAGCTACTGAAACTGACTTAATTGAAATGGAATAGACCCCAGCCCTGATCGCATTTTCAATTTATGTTGAACTTACTGAGCAATTTTGTGCATTTATATGTTTAAAAGAATATCACCATCTGGGAAGAACAGGTTTGAATGACAGCAAATAACCAGAGCTATCCCTTTTTTAAACCTGATGCCAACATGTAATGACAGGAGAGGGGTTTTGTGTTACCTTTCTTTTCAGGTTTGTCTTTTACATCCTCAAACTAGGCATGGACTTTTCAAAGTTAATTAAACACTTGGTAGATTTCACACTACCCAAAGTGAGCCAGTCAGTCAAAGGGCTAACACAAGTCACAGAGACAGATTGACATTGGTGGCAACCATAATGTCAAGTACTGCTGTGTGTGAACATATAAACGACAGATCCCTTGTTTTGTAAAGGCAACTTAGAGACAGAACTATATGCCAGTAATACCAGCATTTATTTTTAACCGAGTTGTGGCCACACAGACTTCAGTCAAGTCATACATTTGCAAATTCAAATTACTGACTGACTAGTGGATGATCAGTAATGGGCTGAAAGAGCAAGGAGCGCAAAGCAGCAGACCTTGATCCTGGTTAGTTAGTAAAAGAGTTCCTGAGCCAAATCAACAAAGCTACTCAATGACGTCTCATTGAGCAGCGAGGCATATTTGAAATGTTTAAGTCAGTCGAAATGTTGCGCTGCTACGATGAATTGTGTGGATGAATGAAACAACAAGAGGTTGAACTAAAATGTACACAAACATTTTATAAGAACAAAAATAACAAAAAAGGAATGACAAAAGATAGGGAGGGAGCAAGTACAGTGAGGGAAAAAAAGTATTTGATCCCCTGCTGATTTTGTACGTTTGCCCACTGACAAAGACATGATCAGTCTATAATTTTAATGGTAGGTTTATTTGAACAGTGAGAGACAGAATAACAACAAGAAAATCCAGAAAAGCGCATGTCAAAAATGTTATGAATTGATTTGCATTTTAATGAGGGAAATAAGTATTTGACCCCTCTGCAAAACATGACTTAGTACTTGGTGGCAAAACTCTTGTTGGCAATCACAGAGGTCAGACGTTTCTTGTAGTTGGCCACCAGGTTTGCACACATCTCAGGAGGGATTTTGTTCCACTCCTCTTTGCAGATCTTCTCCAAGTCATTAAGGTTTCGAGGCTGACATTTGGCAACTCAAACCTTCAGGTCCCTCCACAGATTTTCTATGGGATTAAGGTCTGGAGACTGGCTAGGCCACTCCAGGACCTTAATGTGCTTCTTCTTGAGCCACTCCTTTGTTGCCTTGGCCGTGTGTTTTGGGTCATTGTCATGCTGGAATACCCATACACGACCCATTTTCAATGCCCTGGCTGAGGGAAGGAGGTTCTCACCCAAGATTTGATGGTACATGGCCCCATCCATCGTCCCTTTGATGCGGTGAAGTTGTCCTGTCCCCTTAGCAGAAAAACACCCCCAAAGCATAATGTTTCCACCTCCATGTTTGACGGTGGGGATGGTGTTCCTGGGGTCATAGGCAGCATTCCTCCTCCTCCAAACACGGCGAGTTGAGTTGATGCCAAAGAGCTCGATTTTGGTCTCATCTGACCACAACACTTTCACCCAGTTCTCCTCTGAATCATTCAGATGTTCATTGGCAAACTTCAGACGGGCCTGTATATGTGCTTTCTTGAGCAGGGGGACCTTGCGGGCGCTGCAGGATTTCAGTCCTTCATGGCATAGTGTGTTACCAATTGTTTTCTTTGTGACTATGGTCCCAGCTGCCTTGAGATCATTGACAAGATCCTCCCGTGTAGTTCTGGGCTGATTCCTCACCGTTCTCATGATCATTGCAACTCCACGAGGTGAGATCTTGCATGGAGCCCCAGGCCGAGGGAGATTGACAGTTATTTGTGTTTCTTCCATTTGCGAATAATCGCACCAACTGTTGACACCTTCTCTCCAAGCTGCTTGGCGATGGTCTTGTAGCCCATTCCAGCCTTGTGTAGGTCTACAATCTTGTCCCTGACATCCCTGGAGAGCTCTTTGGTCTTGGCCATGGTGGAGAGTTTGGAATCTGATTGATTGATTGCTTCTGTGGACAGGTGTCTTTTATACAGGTAACAAGCTGTGATTAGGAGCACTCCCTTTAAGAGTGTGCTCCTAATCTCAGCTCGTTACCTGAATAAAAGACACCTGGGAGCCAGAAATATTTCTGATTAAAAGGGGTTAAAATACTTATTTCCCTCATTAAAATGCAAATCAATTTATAACATTTTTGAAATGTGTTTTCTCGATTTTGTTGTTGTTATTCTGTCTCGCACTGTTCAAATTAACCTACCATTAAAATTATAGACCGATCATTTCTTTATCAGTGGGCAAACATACAAAATCAGCAGGGGATCAAATACTTTTTCCCTCACTGTACATGATTCATAGTGAAAAGGACACAGGCCCCAATTGTCACAGCTCCTCGTGAAAATGTGCAAACTGTAGCACAAGGACTTTAACTGGAGTTTCTATGAAATGTGCTACTTGATCAAAAGCGTCCCTACCCTGAATGAGAATCATCTGGCAAGTGATACAGATGCAATCACATTCAGAGATCTTTCAATAAATAAGGCCTTTATTGGTTCCAAAGGTTTCGAACAAATTGCACTGGCTAACACAGAGGGCAAATAATCCTGCACTTGCTCCTTTACAACATGAAAAAAGAAAGCAAATCAAACAAAACTGAAATTACAAACAAATAACAGGGGTAGGGTTGTCCAACCTGGTCCTGGAGAGCATTTTTTGTTTTCAGATTTACCTGAATAAAGCTACTCATGCCTGAGAATAAGCGAAGCTAGACTACGCTCAAGTCTAAACATAAGCGAAGCTAGGCTAAGCTCAAGTCTAAACCTAAGCGAAGCTAGACTAAGCTGCTCAAGAGCAGCTCTTAACAGTGGCTGAAGTAAGGAGATTATAGTGTAACTAATCCAGTTGTACGAGTCAGTCGTCAATTGAAAGACTGCACTGAGACAGCCATCCAGGATCAGGCTTTGGGACCCCCCCCCGACACACAAGGATCAACCTGTTTCCTGGATTCATTATCACAGATTCATGATCACAGATTGCTTTTTAGAGGGTCTGATATCCCACATAGGTCTTCCTACAACCAATCACGTAAGCAATCACTACAATGAGAATCAAACCGGCCAGGGCGGCACCAACAATGATTGGGATTAAGATGCTGGTGTCATCTAGTGAACATTGATGGGCTAAAGCGAATTTGCCTTTGTTGATTTCGAAGTGCTGGACGCGAAGCTCGAAAGTGTAGAGAGTGAGCGTGTCGGTGACGTTTAAGGTCTGCTCCTTGTAGGAGCTGCCTACCGCCGTCACCCAAATGGACATGTTGGTATTGGATGCAACGACGGGCGCCCCCAGTGGCTGGTTTCACTGTGACGTTCAGAGCGTGCAGGTGGAACTTCTTGCCGTCGTTGCTGAAAGTGAACGTGATGGTGATTGTATCCGATGTCAGTATGAGATCGCTGCAGTTGGCCCTACTGCCTCCGCCCACTTTAGTAATATTGGGCATCAGGTTGATGATCTCCACTTTGTCTCCTTGCTTGTAGCCGATCTGCAGGCCAAATGTGGCCATCAGGCAGGCTGTGCTGTTGACGTCGGGAGCGATGCTGTACTTTCCAGTAGTGGGTGTGGGCAGTGTAGGGGTAGAAGTGGGGGCAGCTGTGGTGGTAACGCTGGTGGTGGTGGTGGGCGCCACAGTGTTGGAGGGCATGTCAACGGAGCATACGGTGTCGGTGTCACTTTTGCTGCCGTTAATTACAAACGCCTGTAGAGCAACATCATACAGTGTCTGAGTGACAGACTCTACTTTCAGGACATCTTCACTCTTGCAGGAGTAGTAGGTGTCCACACCCACGTTGGCGATCATTGGTTTTACCGTCACAGACTTGGTTTCGTTTGAAGTAGAGTTGGGGAAGACGCTTGTGTCGTTGAGATTGTAGGAGAAAACAATGGTATCTACTTGGTAGGTTTTGTTCTCCTTAGTGAATTTAACAGCGCAGCTGTGTCCGTCTCCAAAACTGAGTTTCAATGTCGATGTTGTGTTATCACAGGTGCTCCCTTCGGTTGTCACATTTTCAGGCAGTACAAAAATAATAGTTTCACTCTTATTCACACCACCTTCATATGTGACTGAGAAGTTGACCATCAAATTGGCGTAGAGGCACAATTTGTTCTCCGTGTTGTTGACTGACACTTCAGTCGCATGTGATAGGTGGAGTTCATTTCCAAGAGCCAGGAACTAAATCAGAAACGCGCAGCAAAACATGACAACTTGGTAGCCAAAACACTTGTTCAGGAAGCGACAACAGCTTACGACTTCAGCTACCTTCCAAGACTAACATCGGAATTGGAGTTGATTTGAAGGCAATACATAAAAGACACAACTTGAGGCAACCAAATATTTCTGACACACCCCTGAACCTATAAAGCTACCGCCTGCGCTTAGATTTACCTTTGCGTTAGGTTTGTTAAAATTGAGCCCTAGATGTCATGGCCATGCATTTCTGGAATATTGTCAGGCATTACATGCATTTGAGCAAAGATGCAAAAGTATCTACATGTATTTGAAATACATTTTATGTGACGTTAAATATATTGAAATAATTTTTTTCACGTATGGGCTGGGTCACCACATCAGGCTACAGAGCAGTTGGTTAATTTAGAGTTACAGTTGCTGGCTGAACCCTGCCGGACCTACAGCCTCCAGAACATCCTGCGCAATGCAAATAGCAACTGATGAATTAAGTATGAGGCCAAAACAAGGCCCGGAAAATGTCCTCCCTCGTAAACAACGAGCCGGAGAGTGGGAGGAAGTGGGGGAGAAGGGGGAGGGGGAACGCGAAGCAATCTCCGGCTGTAAGAGAGAAAAATAGACAAAAGAGAGAGAGGGACAGAGAGAGAGAGACTGTTTCATTATTCAGTAGAACAAGGAGTCAGTGTGCTGCTGAGCGGTAAACCAGATGATGGAGGAGAGGAGTGTGTGGTTCCCCAGCCCCCCATCTCTATCTTTCCCCATCTTACACTGCAGTTACACCCTGAACCCAGAGCGGAGAGGAGGCCTTCCCAGCAGCAGGTGATCTGCTATCCATCACTATCGCAATGGGGAACGTGGAGCTACATGGAGCTACATTTATTTTTAAATCAGGACACCGCGGGGGGTTAAGAGAGAGCCTATTTGTTTGTGTGCTTGGGTGTGTACTTGTTAGGGTGTGTGTGTGTGAGTGTGTGTGCGCTTGTGTGTATGCAACATGCAAAATTGCAAATGTAATGTGCATTCTTTGAGGTAAAGCTACTATCCATTTGAAACCACTCAAACTTGCAGAACTGATATACATTGATATTATGCATCCCCTGTTTAGCCCCTGCTGTCCACATTATGCACAGCTGTTCCATTGTCATCCACACACAAATAACCCTAACAGAAAGGCCTTCTGACCGGGTCTCATTTCAATAGTTCAATGCTTCCATCTGCCCTTGTTCACTCTTATTTGAAGATTTAATAGGAATGAATAAGTGAAGTCATGCGGCAGATATGAGGGAACATGTTTCTGGAATGAGGCACAGCCTGGGACTTATACAGTCCATATCTGTACTCCTCACCCCACAGACACAGCAGATACAAATAAACAGTTTCCCAGTTTCCTCCATGTTTTCCATTCCAGAGGCAAACAGCGTGTTCCAAGAGGAGTTGTCTTGAATTTGGAATACATGTTTTTCAAATGCACTGCTCTCTCGATATGTGTGTGTGTGTGTGTGTGTACATGGCCTGTATTGAATGATAGTTACAGGGGGACAGATAGTGTTGACACATGGGAGAAAGAAAGACAGGCAGAGACGGGAGAGATTAGTGTGTTGTCAGCCCGGAGGTGTCTGTCTGCCCCTTCCTTCAGAAGCCCTGCTCTGCTCTGCTGTGCTCCGCACACCAGATTAACTGTCTGCCACCACATCTCATTTGATTTCTGATGTCTTTTTGTCCAACCTAAAATAAGATGAAAAGCAGAACAAAGACAATCAAAAACCTTTTCTGACAGAAGATGTTTTCAATAGCGCAGTGACAGTATCAATGCATTGCAGTACATGTCACTCCTACATTTGGCATCACAATGAACACAAAAAATAGTTGGCACATATAGAGATGCCACTAGGGTCACAGGAGAGGATTGCAATGTCCACAGTTGCTTTCCCCTATGCCACTGTACTGGCCTGTATGTATATATTCATCACTGGAAACTCTTTGGCTTCTACTCTCTTTCTTTCATTCTCTCCGTCGTAGATTTTTTCATGAAATGGTGTCATCTCTTTCTTTGAAGGGAGAAAATTGAATTTCCATCCCAGCGCCATAGAGGAGGATGGGTTAATGACACAATACAGCTTGAACTCTCCCTCCTTTTCTCTCTCTCTGTCTCTCTCTCTCTCTCTCTCTCTCTCTCTCGCTCTCTCTCTGTTTTACTATGCGGTCACTGACATTTCCCACCGATAACCACACAATCTCATCTGTTAGTAATAGAAGAATCACTTTGACCGCCTGCAGTTAAATCTGCCGGAAAGAGACACAGAGAGAGAGAGAGAGAGAGAGAGAGAGAGAGAGAGAGAGAGAGAGAGAGAGAGAGAGAGAGAGAGAGAGAGAGAGAGAGAGAGAGAGAGAGAGAGAGAGAGAGAGAGAGAGAGAGAGAAAGCAGACTCCCACTAAAGACATGTTTCCATAATGCCCATGTCCACAACACACAGAGAGGAAGACTAAAATGCCACACACTCAATATAGTCAATCCATAACATTGCTTTAAGGAAATCATTTCTAGTAAGAACCACCAATTGGAACTTTACATTCTTTGGGGCAATAAAATGCAATCGCAAAAAAATATTTATTAAGAAACCCTTGAAAATACGTTGACTCAAGTCATCAATTATACACGTTCTAAGAAAATATATGGAAAAGAAACCAAACAAACACAAATTATATAACCAGAGCATAAATAAACAAGTGGGGTCTTGACTGGCCTGCTGTGTTCTGTGAAACACAATGATACAGTATCTGCAGTGGTGCAGAATAGCGTAATACAGTTAGTGAACCTGTGAACCTTGTCAGCCTTTATTGAAGATGACACCGTCTTTAGAGCACATCTCACTCGTCCGCCCCCTCTCTCTTGAAAACAAACACACAGAAATAGACACACACAACAATACACACACACACGCAGTCCTGATGTATCCGTGTCATGTCTCCTGTCTATCTGCCTTCCTGTGTTATAAGGATGGCGGTGTTAGAGATGTATGTGCGTTGTAATGACAGCCATAACCGTTCACAGTCTGCTGGGACAGCTACTTCACTACAGCTTTTATAGCTTTAACACTGATCATTATCACCTCATCATCGCCGTTACACTGACTAATGCTGCCTCAACATGCTCTCACACAGACGGTGAGACAAAGAGAGAGAGACAGTGAGACAAAGTGAGAGAGCGAGAGAGCGAGAGAGAGAGAGAGAGAGAGAGAGAGAGAGAGAGAGAGAGAGAGAGAGAGAGAGAGAGAGAGAGAGAGAGAGAGAGAGAGAGAGAGAGAGAGAGAGAGAGAGAGAGAGAGAGAGAGAGAGAGTTACAGTAGAGTTATCTGTAAAGAGAGAAAGAGATAGAAACTACTGGTGTGTATACATGGCTGGTCAGTAGTAGTACTTTGGCTGTAGTGGTAGTGTGGTGGTAGTAGTGTGGTGATTGTGGTGTCTTGACTGTAGTTGTTGTAGTGTGGTGGTTAGTGGAGAGATCAATACAGACTGATCCTCATTGCTGACAGCCCATTTCGCATCCTTGTCTGGTCCCTTTGTCTGTTTAGGCACAACTGATATATGCTGACACAAAGAAACACTATACTGTGCAATGTTGGTGTGCATGTGTGCCACACAAACACTCTTCCTCCTTTCTTCATATAATGAGATTCCATTTGATGCATACGTGTAGGTGTACACGTACGAGCGTATTAGTACATGTCTGCATTGTGTGTGTACAGTATGTTTGTGTTCGTACATGTGTCCGTGTGTGTTTGTGTGTATTCTTCTGTGTGTGTATGCGAGTGTGTGTGTGTGTGTGTGAGCGAGTGTGAGAGGAAAAAGCCAGTAGGGTGGATATAGATGTCCAGCCAGTGTTTGTAGAGGGATTGCTCTGATGGTCTGGGTGAGAGCCTGCATCAGTAAGGTCATTAAGGCTTGGTGTCTGGGGTATAATGCACTCCATCCCTTCATTAGAGCTGTTTACTCCACCAAACACCACAGCACGCACACACACACACACACACACACACACACACACACACACACATACACACACACACTATAAATGCATTACCTCTGTCCCCCATCTCCACTGTGGTGTGTGTGTGTGTGTGTGTGTGTGTGCTCCATCCAGGTATAATTAGAGAGAGATTAAAGCTGGAGATGTGTTGGGCAGGGTCAGTGAGGGCCAAATGCACACATGTTCAGCCTGAACATCAGAGTAGAGAAGGATATTGGTGTGTGTGTGTGTCACTATGGAACACTGCATACATAAGCATGTGTGTGTGTGTGTCAAAATATTTGCATGTCAGCTGCAGAGGCTCATTCCCCCCATGGCCAGTCTGTGGGGTGTGTCCTTTTCTCTCTCCCCCACCCATCATCCATCAAATCAAATCAAATTTTATTTGTCACATGCGCCGAATACAACAGGTGTAGACCTTACAGTGAAATGCTTACTCGCAAGCCCTTATCCAACAATGCAGTTTTAAGAAAAATAAGTGTTAAGTCAAAAATAGATTAAAGATAATAAAAGAGCAGCAGTAAAATAACAGTAGCAAGGCTATATACAGGTTAGTCGAGGTAATTGAGGTAATATGTACATGTAGGTAGAGTTAAAGTGACTATCCATCCCTCCATCCTTCCTTCTCACTGTCTCTGACATCATCCCTCAATCTCTCTGTTACTGTCACACACAGTTTCCTGCTTTTCAACACCTTGCCTCTGCACTTTGGTCCATTCACAGTGGAGGCACGCAATAAAGAGCCACTTAGACATTGACAAAGGAATATGTATACAGTCTCCTGTCTAAAATAACAGTTCTGTCTGTCATAGACCACAGAGAAAAATAGCCAGTAATTGGACAATTTTTAACGAGTAGCTTTGGATCATGAATAATTCTTTGCTTAATGCACACTTCTGTCAAAAGCATCACGTTTCCCAGACATTCATTCATGATATTCATTTTGGGCAAAGTTTTTGTTTCAGAACAGCTTTAACAGGCTTTTGACAACCCTTACATGTATTATAGCAGTACTAACCTAACCCCTGCCACATACATTCTCAATGTGATCGCACAGTAGAACCAACCTGAGAGATCTACCATGGCAGAACTGCAGCCCCACACCTCCCTCTTTCCCTTCCTCCCTCTCTCCATCATCCCTCCCTCCTCTCATCAAACAACAAATTGACTTTCCAATATACATCTCCTTCTATACCTCTCCCTTATCTCACCCTTCCTCTTTACCTCCTAACGACTAATACAGGCTTTGAAGTCTCATTCACTCCAAAAGCTAAAAAGAGGAAATAGAGGAGAATGGAGAGAGAAACAGATCAGATGGTAGCCAATAATGATAGAGGAATTACATACATGATTGAATGTATGGAACAAATGGATGCTTAAAGGCTTTTTATTCAGCCTTTCAGTACGGGAGCGGGTGACACTCTAGATCCAAACTGTTACAGACCTATATCCATCCTGCCCTGCCTTTCGAAAGTTTTTGAAAGCCAAGTTAACAAACAGATCACCGACCATTTCGAATCCCACCGTACCTTCTCCGCTATGCAATCCGGTTTCCGAGCTGGTCATGGGTGCACCTCAGCCACGCTCAAGGTCCTAAACGATATTATAACTGTGATCGATAATAGACAGTACTGTGCAGCCGTCTTCATCGACCTGGCCAAGGCTTTCGACTCTGTCAACCACCGCATTCTTATTGGCAGACTAAATAGCCTTGGTTTCTCAAATGACTGCCTCGCCTGGTTCACCAACTACTTCTCAGATAGAGTTCAATGTGTCAAATCGGAGGGCCTGTTGTCTGGACCTATGGCAGTCTCTATGGGGGTGCCACAGGGTTCAATTCTCGGGCCGACTCTTTTCTCCATGTATATCAATGATTTCGCTCTTGCTGCTGGTGACTCTCAGATTCACCTCTACGCAGACGACACCATTTTGTATACATCTGGCCCTTCATTGGACACTGTGTTAACAAACCTCCAAACGAGCTTCAATGCCATACAACACTCCTTCAGTAGCCTCCAACTGCTCTTAAACACTAGTAAATCTAAATGCATGCTCTTCAATCGAACGCTGCTGGCACCCGGGTCTGACCTAGAGTATGTGGACAACTACAAATACCTAGATGTCTGGTTAGACTGTAAACTCTCCTTCCAGACTCACATTAAGAATCTCCAATCCAAAGTTACATCTAGAATTGGCTTCCTATTTCGCAACAAAGCCTCCTTCACTCATGCTGCCAAACATGCCCTCGTAAAACTGACTATCCTACCGATCCTTGACTTTGGCGATGTCATTTACAAAATAGCCTCCAACACTCTATTCAGCAAATTGGATGTAGTCTATCACAGTGCCATTCGTTTTGTCACCAAAGCCCCATATACTACCCACCACTGTGACCTGTACACTCTTTTTGGCTGGTCCTCACTACATATTCGTCGCCAAACCCACTGGCTCCAGGCCATCTATAAATCACTGCTAGGCAAATCCCCACCTTATCTTAGCTCATTGGTCACCATAGCAACGTCCACCCGTAGTATGCACTCCAGCAGGTATATCTCACTGGTCATCCCCAAAGCCAACACCTCCTTTGTCCGCCATTCCTTCCAGTTCTCTGCTGCCAATGACTGGAACGAATTGCAAAAATCTCTGAAGCTGGAGACTCTTATCTCCCTCACTAACTTTAAGCATCAGTTGTCAGAGCACCTTACCGATCACTGCACTTGTACACAGCCCATCTGAAATTAGCCCACCCAACTACCTCATCCCCATATTGTTATTTAATTTGCTCATTTGCACCCCAGTATCTCTATTTGCACATCATCTCTTGCACATCTATCATTCCAGTGTTAATACTAATTGTAATTATTTTGCACTATAGCCTATTTATTGCCTTACCTCCATAACTTGCTACATTTGCACACACTGTATATATATTTTCTGTTGTATTTTTGACTTTATGTTTTGTTTTACCCCATATGTAACTCTGTGTTGTTGATTTTATCGCACTGCTTTGCTTTATCTTGGCCAGGTCGCAGTTGTAAATGAGAACTTGTTCTCAACTGGCTTACCTGGTTAAATAAAGGTTGTATCTACCACAGAAGCATCTTTAGATCTGTGGCAGACAAGGCCCAATGGTACACAACAGCTGGCCTCTAATGATCAAGACTACCCCTGATGCTGCTTACTGTGAGATTACTTAAAACACAATGTTGTGAAGAGGACATTCACACATATAAGAGCTACACATACACCCACACACTCACACACCAACACAAACACACACACAAACCGACTCACACACCAACACACCCACACCAACACACGCACAAACACAGTGCTTGGACGATACCAGTATCGCAGAATTAATTTCCGTGGCAAAAATGAAAACACGAAGCAGACAAAACTCTTTAGTTGTTTAAAAACCTGCTGTATGTAAAATATTGTGTGCTATAGCTTGGAAAATAAATACATGTGACTCTGGATGACAACATAATGATGTTAGTTTCCAACATTAGGGTTGTTTTCCTAAAGAAGCTAAATCCACTTTGTGTTTTGTTTCCTTGCCACGATACTAACCAGTATCGTGATACTGGTATTGTCCAAGCCCTAACACAAACACACATGCATGCAGCCACTAATGTATGCGGAGAACACAAATCAGCCGCTAACATCGTTTAAAAAGTACTGCCAGATAAAATATTATATATTTTTTATGTAAAAGTTGAGTGTTCTGCCTGAGGCACTATTCTCCGTTCTTTGTGCTGAGGAACCCCTCTAATTTGCCAAATAAGAAAGCTTAAATGTGCTGTGATGGACAGAGCCCATCACCATTAATATTTCACATAGATAAACAGACTCGCACTCCTCCTTCTGAAAATACATTTATTTGGCATAAGAGGTCTGTTCTGACTCCCAACCTCAGTCATTGTATCAATCAATGGATCTCTTAATCAAAAAGGTGCCATCATCAGCTGCTTATGATTAGGCAGAAATACACACAAAGTTTAACTAACTGACACACAGATATGAAGCTGCATGAAAGTGCTATAGCCTATAACGTTTACACCCCATGCTGCTGGAAATAGGCTACATTAGCAGCGGAGACATTTCTCTCCATTTCTAATTCTCACCTGCTATTTTGTCTCCATCTCAACCACTTCAAATTCCTATTCACACCATTCTTTCTCTCTCCACAAGTCTCATTTCCTCTCCTCCTCCATTCCTCCCCTTTCTCAATTTATTTTCTCCCCTACTATTTCTGCTACATTTTCTTCTCTCCCCACACTGACTATTCTGTCACTCATTTTAGACTATATAACTATTCTTCTCCAATTACCATATCCCTCCCAATCTTTTACTAGTTTATTTGTTCTCTGCTCTTCCTCTCCCCTCTTCCTCTCCTCTCTCCCCCTTCCTCCATCTCCCTCTCTCCTTTCTCATCTCTCTCTCCGCCCTGTCTCAATCCTTCTCTCTTCCCCTCCCTCCCTCTCTCGCTCTCTGTGTGAAGTGCAACATTTCGTTTTCTCCTCTGTCAGCACTTATGGGCTGCAGCGGAGGCAGATCCTGGCGGCGCTCACCGTGGAAACCAGGGCCTGAGTGACAGCCTGTCCGCTCCAAAACAATCCAATCATTAATTTTATTTTTATTTATTTTTATTTCAACTTTATTTAACCAGGTAAGCCAGTTGAGAACAAGTTCTCATTTACAACTGTGACCTGGCCAAGATAAAGCAAAGCAGTGCGATAAAAACAACAACACAGAGTTACATATGGGGTAAAACAAACAAAGTCAAAAATATAACAGAAAATATATATACAGTGTGTGCAAATGTAGCAAGTTATGGAGGTAAGGCAATAAATAGGCTATAGTGCAAAATAATTACAATTAGTATTAACACTGGAATGATATATGTGTAAGCGATTATGTGCAAATAGAGATACTGGGGTGCAAATTAGCAAAATAAATAACAATATGGGGATGAGGTAGTTGGGTGGGCTAATTTCAGATGGGCTGTGTACAGGTGCAGTGATCGGTAAGGTGCTCTGACAACTAATGCTTAAAGTTAGTGAGGGAGATAAGAGTCTCCAGCTTCAGAGATTTTTGCAGTTCGTTCCAGTCATTGGCAGCAAAGAACTGGATGGAATGGCGGCCAAAGGAGGTGTTGGCTTTGGGGATGACCAGTGAGATATACCTGCTGGAGCGCATCCTATCTAACTGCAGCTCTGCTCCGCTCACTATCTCTGGCAAGTGGAAGCAAAGCCATTGCTTGGGTTTTATAGATCACTAATAGAGCCAGCAGAGCAGGTTTCTACTTTGATACAGTAAATACAGTTGAAGTCGGAAGTTTACATACACTTAGGTTGGAGTCATTAAAACTTGTTTTTCAACCACTCCACAAATTTCTTGTTAACAAACTATAGTTTTGGCAAGTCGGTTAGGACATCTACTTTGTGCATGACACAAGTAATTTTTCCAACAATTGTTTACAGACAGATTATTTCACTTATAATTCACTGTATCACAATTTCAGTGGGTCAGAAGTTTACATACACTAAGTTGACTGGGCCTTTAAACAGCTTGGAAAATTCCAGAAAATGATGTCATGGCTTTAGAAGCTTCTGCTAGGCAAATTGACAACATTTGAGTCAATTGGAGGTGTTCCTGTGGATGTATTTCAAGGCCTACCTTCACACTCAGTGCCTCTTTGCTTGACATCATGGGACAATCAAAAGAAATCAGCCAAGACCTCAGAAAATAATTGTAGACCTCCACAAGTCTGGTTCATCATTGGGAGCAATTTCCAAACGCCTGAAGGTACCACATTCATCTGTACAAACAATAGTACGCAAGTATAAACACCATGGGACCACGCAACCGTCATACCGCTAAGGAAGGAGACGCGTTCTGTCTCCTAGAGATGAACGTACTTTGGTGCGAAAAGTGCAAATCAATCCCAGAACAACAGCAAAGGACCTTGTGAAGATGCTGGAGGAAACAGGTACAAAAGTATCTATATCCACAGTAAAACGAGTCCTATATCGACATAACCTGAAAGACCGCTCAGCAAGGAAGAAGCCACTGCTCCAAAACCGTCATAAAAAAGCCAGACTACGGTTTGCAACTGCACATGGGGACAA